GTGTGGCTCAGTGGACTGAACATTGTCTCCTGGACTGAGGTGCTGGTTCAATTTCCAGTCAGGGCACATGCCAGGATTTGGGCTCTATCCCCAGTAGGGGTCGTACAGGAGACAGCCAATTGATATTTCTCTTAAATCAATGCTTCTATCTCTCTCTCCCGTCCTTTCTCTAAAAAAAAAAAAATCAATAAAAACATTAAAAAAAAAAAAGTAATTCCGTTCCAACAGCCTCTATAAGAAACAAAAAACATTAACAGATAAACAATTAATACATTAGTAAACAATTAATAAATAAAAGGTGTGTAATTATAAGAAATGGTTTAGGTAACATAGAATACATCAAAGCCTCAATTGTATCTCTGATAAAAAACCACCATTTTAAAACAAAAGTATACCAAAGCCAGTTCACATCATGAAGAATCCTAAAATAATTTTTAAAAACTTTAAAACCATATCTACTCTAGCTTACAAAATTTTTCATTTTTTTCAGAACAAAGAAAACAGTAGATTTTCAAATATCACAGTATACACATAGATTTTGTAGTAGCATACCTCAGAAAATAAAAAATAAATACAGGCAGTGAGAATTTCAACCTAGAACTCTCTCCCTCTTAATGACCAAATTATATTGACAAAAGAAAATCATAAAAAAAAATTAGGTAAAGGCCAGACACCATCCCCCTGTTTACATTCCAAATAATTTTGTAGACAGAATACATACAACTCAAAAACACTACTTTCTGTATAAAGAATGTTATAATGATCTGAACCTTTATTTCTGAAGGGGGTAAAATTAAGATGACATCTTAAGTTAGGAATGGTCCATAAAGCTCATTTATACCAATTATCATTCTGGTGACTTTAAGCAAATTATATTCCAAAAGTATATTTAGTATTTAAATGTTTAAAGCTTATTGCATTTTCCCACAGAAATTTTATAAATGGTAGTTTACCAAAGGTATTGGACCTATGGAGCACCTGAAGGGTACTGTTAAATAATACTCTTTCAATTCTGCAGGGTTCTAATTCAGGACATCAAAAATAATTCATTCCTTGGTAGCAAAACTCCCAAAAGCTTGGGGTCCAAAGAATGATAATGACTTTCTAAAAGTCAATAATGATTCTGTAACAAAACAGGCTTATTTAACTCATTAACTGCTTCTCTATTTCTGTAGAAGAGGTAATTCTCTGGGTCCAAGCAGAACAGGCCAGGGGTTTGGATCCAAATTCTTCAGCTAGTTTGAAATCAGTGCGACTTGAATATAAGTATAGTCTATCAAATGTTCAATCTTGTTTTTCACATCTGATTTATATTATAAAAATATACATTATATAGTATAGACTATAAAAAGGACAATGATCTTTTTGTAGTAGTCTTACCACTTCTTGAACTAAGCTGATTAGTTCCATGAGACGCCGACGAAGCTTGGCTACCTCTTCATTCACTTTAGTAACATGCTGCTCATAAATTTCTGCCAAAGGTTTAAAGGTATGTCCACCGTGCTATTTAAATTAATAAGAGTAGTTTTAGAATATTTTCCTGTATCTCATCTGCATTTACATTCCTATGAACACTAATATACTGGTAAATATTTCCAAATAAATTTTATCTTTTTGGTTGCCTTTGTTAAAACAAGCCAGAGTTTGCTTAAAATCATGTGGTCCATGTAAGAAATCCTTCAAATGTGGACAAAGACCTTAAGCAAAATGTTCACTTATCTAGAAATCCTCACTCATGAGAAAGAACCGAAATTCTTAATCATGGCCCAAAGCATCTGACCCAACCTCATTTGCCATTCTTCTCTTGGTCAGCACTAGTCTTCTTTCTTCTTCCATATCCTCAAACTTCTTCCCACCAGACCTCTGCAAAAGTAACTCCAACTTACTAAAAAATAATCCTCCTTCACCTTCCCTCCCCAAACTCTTCACCTCTTAACTCCTACTCATCCTTTAGAGCTTAGCACAGGGTTAGAAGGTCAGGCTCCATAGTTATCTCCACACTTATCAGCACTGTATACTTATTCCTAATATCTATCACAATTAAATACATAATTAGTTGTTTGATCTGTTTTGCTAATCACTGAACAGCCAGCCAGTCTTTTGCACTGAATAAATTAGAAAGACAGTTGGGGAAAAGACCCATGCTATATACTATTAGCAAGAACAATGAACCCTTCCTCATACCACAAAGAGCTTCTACGGAGAGAAGTCCCATGCAAATTAGCCTGACAAATCCAGTTGTATTCAAAGAACAATTTTTTAAAGCTAACAACCTAAAATCAATTTCCTATCCAATTTCAGTATTGTAATTTATAACTCTGGATTGCTAAATAGAACTTAAATTTCTATTATAAGGAATTTCTTATAACAGATAGGTTCTTATCAGAATTGTCTTAGTCAAGCAAAATGCCCAGCCATGGTCTCTAAGAAAAAAAAACCACAGTGGATTTTTTTCATGTCCACTTAAAATATAGAAAAGAATGCTTTCATTGCTTCTTACAAAAACCATTCACTTAAAGTACTAAATTGTGAGAACTGATTTTTATTCTAGTCAGCACAGTAGTATTCAAATTGTAACAGAAAGCTCTCTGAATTGAGCTCTACCCAACAACTTGCCATTCTGCCTCTAAAAAATGCTAACTGATGACCAAAGAATGATTCTCATTGCTAACAGGCAACTCTACATGTCTAACCATTTCTGCTCCCACTATGACTAAATTTCCCTGCCAAGAATCTACTATTTATTCTCAAACCTATTTATGCCTATACTGTAAGTATATAATGTAATATTAAACAATAGGGCACAAATATAAAATAAAAAACTCTTTTTAGGAAAACTAACTTGAATGTTTTAGACTAGATAAAGGTAGGTAACCTTAAAAAACTACTTTTGAATTAGACTGGAAAAAGTAAAATATTAAAAACAAATCATGCCCTGGCCGGTCTGGCTCAGCGGTTAGAGCGTTGGCCTGTAGTCTGGAGAGACCTGGGTTCGGTTCCTGCTAAGAGCATGTACCTCGGTTGCAGTTTGTCCCCGGCCCTGGTTGGGTCGTGTGGGTGGCAACCACTCGACGTGTCCCTTTCACGTCGATGTTTCTGTCTCTCTCCCTCACACTCTATCTGAACAAAATATCAAAAAATGTCCTCGGGTGAGGATAAAAAAAAAAATCATAAGCTCTAGATGTTTGCATTCTTTTTTGTTGTTAATCCTCACCCAAGGATATTTTTTCCATTGATTGTTAGAGAGAGAAGGAGGAAGGGAGGGAGAGGGAGAGAAACATTGACGTGAAGGAGGCACATAAATTGGTTGCCACCCACACGTGACCTAACCAGGGCTAAGGAACAAACCTGCAACCTAGGTACATCCCCCCCTTGGTTGGGAATTGAACCCATGATCCTTCACTGTGCAGGCCTATGCTCTAACCACTGAAGAACACTGGCTGGGGCTGTATTCCTATTTTTCACAAAGTTGTTGTTCCACTTTAAACAAACCAAAATTAGAAATTGTGGCCAGGACATGAAAGCAACTGACCTTTAATTAAAAAAATAAATAAATTAAATAAATAAATAAGACCTTGATCCTACAACAAAAGATGAACATAGAAATATATATTTTATAGGTTTATTTATTTATTTATTTACTTAGGGAAACACTTTTTAAAATTTTTTTCCTTATTGATTTTAGAGAGGGAGGAAGTGAGAGGGAGCGAGAAAGAGAAACATCGATGAGAGAGAATATTGGCCGCCTCCTGCATGCCCCCTAATGGGGATGGAGCCCACAACCTGGGCATGTGTCCTGAACGGGGAATCAAACTGGCGACCTCTTGCTGCATGGGTCGACGCTCAATCACCGAGCCACACTGGCTGGACCATTTCATAGGTTTATAACTAAAATAAAATATTTATGTATGGGGTATACATCCACATCAAAATCTTCCACAAAAGTTGTTTTTCTGGAATAATAGAAGGAATGATACCTTTTGCTATAAAGTAGAATCATTTAATTTTCATTCTATAAACAAAGTAAAATATTTTCTATCTAAATAAAACAAATATTTCAGTACTTTCTAGTCTCTAAGTAAAAATAATATGCTGAATTTGTTCTGCTTACCATTCCTCCCCAAAGTGCACACTGATGGCAGATACACTTCTTACAAGTCCAGCAAAATACACTAAGTTTTTCATGGTGATTTTCACATCTATAAATTATGAAAAAAAAAAAAAAAAAATACAATTATAAATTAAATAAGCTAAAATTAGATCATAATTACCTCAACAAATTCCTAAGTTTTGGACAACAGGTTGGTCAATTTTAAACAATTATATCTCAGGAAACAATATAAAACGTATTTCACAGCTTCTTCTGTACATCAAGCTAAAAAATTACATTGGAACACAATTTTCTTAAAATACTGTTTTCACTGATATGTAAACTTAGAATCACATGAAAAATGCAAACTAGTTTCTGAATAAAGTACAAATACGACATCACTTCCTAGTATCACTATAGATCAGCAATTTTCAACCTTTTTAATCTCATGGCACACATAAACTAATTACTAAATTCTGCAGCACACCAAAAAATAGATGATATTTTTTGTTGACCTGACCAAAGAAGAGAGTATAATTTTGATTCATTCACACCAGGCGGCTATTGTTGTGTTGGCAGTTGTCTTTTTTTTTTTATTTGACAATTTAAGGGAAAAGAGGTCAGTGTCCCTGACTAAATAGTCAGGTACTGCATGTTTTAAAAATTCTTGCGGCACAACAACTAAAAACCGCTGCTATAAATAATAAATTCCAGCCCACTACTGTATTTTTGGGCAAATACAACCCTTACTGTATTTTTGGACAAACGTGTTTGTATCTACATGAGCATGTATTGCATGCACAAATACTTTTTCTATATGTCAATGTTAACAATGACACATGAAAACTGCACAAAGTGATACCAGATCCTTATGAAAACATGAACTCAATATAAAATAGTTTTCCCATGTTTGCTTCAGCAGCACATATAATAAAATTGTAACAATACATAGAAGATTAGCATGGCCCTTGAGCAAGGATGACATGCAAATCTGTGAAACATTCCATACTTTAAAAAAATAAAATAAAAATAAAACAAAATGTTTTCCCTTAAGTTAGATGTCTACATGCAAAAGAGTAAAGATGGACCTGGTTATGAACTGAACTGCATTCTCCCCTTCCCCAAATCCTATGTTGAAAGCCCTAATGTAACTGTAGTTGGAAACAAGGCCTCTAAGGATGTTAAATGAGATCCTAAAAGGCCTAACCCAATAGAACTGATGTCCTGAAAAAAAAAAAAAAAGATGCCAGAAGCGTATATGAACAAAGAAAAGTCCACTTAAGGACACAGAGAAAAAGCCATATCCAAGTCAAGGAGAGAGGTCTCCCAGAAACCAAACATGACAATACCTTGACCTTGAACTTCCAGCCTCCAAAACTGTGAGAAAGTATACTTCTATTGTTTAAGCCACCCACTGCAGTCCTAGTGGAGATTAGTTGTGCAACAATGTGAACATACTTAACACTATTGAATTGTACAGTTAAAAAGTGGTTAAAATAGTAAATTTTAAGTGCATTTTACCACAAAAAAATTTTTTTTTAAGTTTTCTCTTGCCTTTAAAATAAGAGTGTTGCATTTGTTCTGCTCATCATTGAGCTTAAAGAAAATATCTAAATAGGTCTATATTTTATATTTTCACTTATAAGTAATCTGAATATCAAATAGAAAATCAATAAAAGTATGAAGAAACAGCATATTAAATACTGTCTGGAAGCTGATTTAGCATGATTTCCACAATACCAAATTTAGGATATAGCTTCTAAACATGTTTTTTATTGATTTTTTAAGAGAGAGGAAGGGAAAGACAGAAACATTGATGTGAGAAAGAAATATCAATCAGCTGCCTTCTGCACGCCTCCTACTGGGGATCAAGCCCACAACTCAGGTGTGTGCCCTGACTTGGAACTGAACCCAGACCTCTCAGTCCAGGGACAATGCTCAATCCACTGAGCTACACCAGCCAGGCTAGGATATAGCATGTATATATGTATGTATGTATTTATTTATTTCCTCATCCAAGGACATTTTTGCATTCATCTTCAGATAGAGGGAGAGGGAGAGAGGGAGGGAGGGAGAGAGAGAAAAACATCAATGTGAGAAAGACACATTGACTGGCTGCCACCCACATGACCCCAACCAGGGCCAGGGACAAACTGCAACCAAGGTATGTACCCTTGGTGGGAACTGAACCCGGGTCTCTCTGGAACAGGGGCTGATGCTCTGACCTGAGCCAAACCGGCCAGAGCTAGCTTTTATTTTTATTTATTTATTTTTTAATCCTCACCCAAAGATATTTTTCTATTTATCTTCAGATAGAGTGGGAGGGAGACAGGGGGAGAGGGAGGGGGAGACAGAGAAACACTGACATGAGTGGGACACATTGACTGATTGCCTCCCACATTACCCGACCAGGGCTGGGGACAAAACGCAACCAAGGTACGTGCCCTTGTTCTGAATTGAACCTGTGACTAATTGGTCCATGAGCGGACACTCTACCACTGAGCCAAACCGGCCAGTGCGATATGGCTTTTAAAATATAAGGATTTATTAGAATCAGGAAAGTTCTTTTTTAAAAAAATTATTTTTTTTCCCTTTATTGATTTTAAAGAGAGAGAGGAAGTGAGATGGAGAGAGAGCTAGAAACATTGATGAGAGAGAACATCGACTGGCTGCCTCCTGAATGCCCCCCACTGGGGATCCAGCCCACAACCTGGGCATGTGCCCCGAAGGGGAATCGAACCAGCAACCGCTTAGTGTATGGGTCGCCGGGAATCAAACCGGCAACCTTTTGGTGCATGGGTCTACACTCAACCACTGAGCCACACTGGCTGGGCAGAATCAGGACAATTCTTAATCAATGACCAATAGAAAATTTCAGCAAACCCAAGGGGACCCAGTAGGCATTTAGAGGCAAAGAAGAGGTTAAAAGATTAGCACCTGTGGCAGTTCCACTCCTTTTACTGAGGCTCTGATAAAATAAATCAATCAAGAATTAGAAGGATCTTTCCAAATAGTGATAACCACAGAAGAAAAATACATGTGTTCACCTAAGAAACTAAAAACAAACAAAAAACTTTCAATAGTTTCATTAAAATAACATAACAAGCCCTGGCCAGTTTGGCTCAGTGGTTAGAGCATTGGCCTGAGGTCTGGAGAGACCCGGGTTCGGTTCCTGCTAAGGGCACATACCTCGGTTGCAGTTTGTCCCCGGCCCTGGTTGGGTCGTGTGGGTGGCAACCACTCGATGTGTCCCTTTCACATCGATGTTTTTCTCCCTATCTCTCTCTCCCCCTCACACTCTATCTGAACAAAACATCAAGAAAAGTGTCCTCAGGTGAGGATTAAAAAAAAAGAAAGAAAAAAAATAACATAACAAGAATCTATGAAATACTTAAAGAAATTGAGGACATACCGGTCCTTTTCATTTTCTTCGTGTTTGGTGAGACTACAGAGTTGAAGAGTATCAAGCTGCTGTGTTACTTCTTCTGCCCAACGACAGTTTACTAGTTCTCGTAGCTGGAGTGGAGCACTAAAGAGAAGATATATTCATATATTCTAATTCAGGAATTTGAGGTTATATTCTAAAATAAAACATTCTAAAAGTAAATATGTGAGGTGATAGATGTGTTAATTAACTCACTGGAGAAGAATCGTTTCACAGTGTTTATAGTATATCAAATCATCACTTTAAATCTCACAATTTTCTCAATTATATCTCAATAAAGCTAGACAAAAAGAAATTATTAAGAAAATAAATACATTCCTCAAAATAGAGCTCACAATCACATTCATATCATATTACTATTAAGGTAACACAGATACAACAAAAAATGTTTTGCAACTTATTTTAATGTTAACGTATCATTTAAAAAAAAAAAAAACTAAACAAAAAATATTGGCTATTCAGATTACAGACTGAATTCTTAATTCCTTAGTCTAAAGTAATACTGTCCAGAGACTTCCGGTCAAGATGGCGGCGTAGGTAAACACGGTATCGCGTCCTCCCACAACCACTTTAAAGTTACAACTAAACTATAGAACAACCATCATTCAAAACCGCCTGAAATCAAGCTGAATAGAAGTCCTACAACTACGAAATTAAAGAAGCAGCCACATCCAGACTGGTAGGATGGGCAGCGACAGGCTGGTCCAACACCCAAGTGTGGTGGATAAAAATCAGGAGGCTCCCCCGGCTGGGAAGGTCCTTCCTGAGAACTGAGGGGTCCCTGTCCCACACCAGGTGCCCCGCTCAGGGTTCCAGTGCCAGGAAGAGAAGTCCCCATAACTTCTGGCTGGAAAAATCAGCAGGAACTGAGGCTCAGGGAAGCTGAGGTGGCTGGAGCCCCAGGCAGCTCCCTAAAGGGCCCACGCCCGGACTTATCGGACTCTCTCCCTCTAAGCTTGGAGGGGAGGCAGCTCGAGGGGCGCCAGAGACATCTAGGGAAGAACTGAGCTGTTTGGCACTGGAGCGAGGGCTGGAGAGGGGGCTTTCTCGGGGACAAACGTGCTGTAAGAGGCCTTTGCTCCTTTGGTGAGCCCTTCCCTGGGGCGGCAGATAGTCCCCACACTGGTAGCCCCGCCCTGCTAGATCCCTAAGGCCCCGCCCCACCCAACTTTCAAGCCCACCCAAGCTGTTGCCACTTGCTTAACCATAGGATTGGCCGGACTTGGATCCTACCTCAGGTTTTTCCTAAATTCTTTCAAACGAGCAGCATCTGGTCTCAGCGAGCCCCATACCTCTCATTAAGTACTACACTGAAACAAACACAGGGAGGCAGCCAAAATGAGGAGACAAAGAAACAGGTCCCAAATGAAAGAACAGAACAAAACCCCAATAAAAGAACTAAGCGAGCCCTGGCCGGTTTGGCTCAGCGGTTGGAGCGTTGGCCTGCGGTACAGAGAGAGCCGGGTTTGGTTCCCGCTAAGGGCACGTACCTCGGTTGCAGTTTGCCCCTGGCCCTGGTTGGTCGTGCGGGTGGCAGCCACTCGATGTGTCCCTTCACGTCGATGTTTCTCTCTCTCTCTCTTCCTCTCTCTCCCTCCCGCTCTATCTGAACAAAAAATGGAAAAATGTCCTCGGGTGAGGATAAAAAAAAATAAAAAGAAAGAAAAAAGAACTAAGCGAAAGGGAGATAAGCAACCTAACAGATACTGAGTTCAAAATACTGCTTATAAGGATGCTCAGTGAACTTAGTGAGAACCTCAGTGAACTTAGGGAGGGCCTCAAGAGCATAAAAAAAGACCAGTCAGAAATCATGGATACAGTTAGAATTGAAGGAGGCATTAACTGAAAGAATAATTTACACAGCTCCAATAATAGAGTACGTAAATCCAAGGAGCAAACCATCAATTTGGAATATAAGGAAGCAAAAAATGCCCAATCAGAACAGCAAAAAGAAAAAAGAATCCAAAAAATGAGGATAGTGTAAAAAGCCTCTGGGACAACTTCAAGCGTGCCAACATTTGCATCTTGGGGGTGCCCGAAGGAGAAGAGAGAGAACAAGAAATCGAAAACCTGTTTGAAACAGTAATGGCAGAAAACTTTCCTAGCTTGGTGAAGGAAACAGACATACAAGTCCAGGAAGCACAGAGAGTCCCAAACAAGATGAACCCCAAGAGGCCCACACCAAGACACATCATCATCAAAATGCAAAAGGTTCAAGACAAAGAGAGAATCTTAAAAGCAGCAAGAGAAAGGCAGCTAGTTACCTACAAGGGAGTTCCCATTAGGCTGTCAGCTGATTTCTCAAAAGAAACTTTGCAGGCCAGAAGGGAGTGGCAAGAAATATTCAGAGTGATGAAAAGCAAGAACCTACAACCAAGATTACTCTATCCTGCAAAGCTGTCATTTAGAATCGATGGCCATATAAAAACTTTCCCAGACAAGAAAAAGTTAAAGGAGTTCATCACTACCAAACCGTTATTATATGAAATGATGAAGGGTCTTTTTGAAGAAAAAGATAAAATGTATGAACAAACAAAATGGCAATGAATATATATCTATCAACAATGG